AACCCTAAACCCTAAACCGTGCTTGAGCCCTACACCGCGAAACCCCTAAACCTTCCAGTCTGTTGCGGCTGGAGCTTGGGAGAGGTCTCTTGAAGAAGCCTTATTATATTACATTATATTATAGTATAGTATATTATGGTATATTATGGTATATTATGGTATATGATAGTATATTATAGTATGTTATAGTATATTATATCTCAACTTTTCCTTTGCACAGCGAGGCGGCGACAAGAAGGAGTTGTTCTTGGCCATCAACCAGCGCACGAAGCAGATGCAATCTGAGATCCTGGACTCAAGCTATGATGTACAGTCCTCGATCTGGGTGTTAAGCTGCAGTTCTGGATTGTAACCGTTTCGTACCGTCCGCCTCGGCCCAGCCGCAGCAGGTCAGGCGGAGTCGAGTTAGGCACGGCCGCAGAGGCGCACAACAAGACGAACCTAGACCCTAAACCCCTAAACCCTAAACCCCTAAACCCCTAAACCCCTCAACCCCTAAACCCTAAACCCCTAAACCCCTAAACCCTAAACCCTAATAACAAGTCAGAAGGGGACCGGGGGGGAGGTGGCTGTGGGCCAGCCGAGGAGTCCAAGGGCAGGAGGGAAAGGGGGAGGAGCGGATGAGAGTGCGGACCGGCGGGTTTAGCGTTTAGGGTTTAGGGTTCAGGGTTTAGGGTTCAGGGTTTAGGGTTTAGGGTTTAGGGTTCAGGGTTTAGGGTTTAGGGTTTAGGATTCAGGGTTTAGGGTGTTGGGATTGGTTGTGCTGTTGTAGAGGGTTGTCTTGTTGCCTTTTTTCGTGTGTTACATATACTGAGAATAATGGTTGCGGGGCGTGATAAAAGCACACGCAGACCTCTTGACGACATGACATGTCGTGATGGGAGTTTGCTTTGTCTCAAGCGACTTGCCTCGAAACGTTTCTCGTAATTTCCAGCAGAACCTAGCGATCGGTGACCAAGATGGAGTTCGCTGTACATGCCTGCACGCACAACATGCTCATGTGGACATGGATATCTATGTGCGCAATGGCGTAACTGCCATGTGTTTATGTTATATCATACCACCATAAATTCTGAGCCCAGCCAGACTTGCCCACAGCTCAGGCTGGCAGGGTACGCCGAGGGAGCAGCTGGGCCTTTCTGGACACATGTTTGTTGGGTTGAAAATTTCGAGAGCTTTCACCTTGCGACATCGCGCTGAAATGGCTCCTAGACTTAAGGGTGTAACATGGACGCTAACTCTAGTTGTTCAAGTGCCGAGGCCTCGTTCAGTCAAGCTGCTACCCTGGCAGCAAACGATGCGCTGGAAAAGTTTGCGGCGGATAGTCCCCAGGCATTGCATGTCGTAGGGGGCCTTTAGCGGGTTTGTAATCTTTTACAGGGTGTTAGGAGTGTTACACTATTTGAAGTTAGACAAAGCGTTTGGGAGTTTGATGGGCGAGGTGGCATCTATCTTACGGGTTTTGAGGGGGTGTGTATAGGCGTCGGAATATTGGTGAGTGCGCGCTTGGGGTCTATTCTGGTGATATTGGCAATAAAAGCACCCCTTCAGGTGGCAATTCGGGTAAGTTTAGTCAGAAGTCTTTTTCAATACACTGTTGCCCTCCTGTATAAACTTGTACATAGCTACTTACATGTTTTCGGCATCGGCCAGCCGGACAGGGTTGTAGCTCCGCAGGCAAAACGGTTGATGCCTGCCAGCGGAGATTTCACGTTACGTCAAATTTGATGGCACATACGTTGTGTTCTATCAAGCACTGTAGGCTTTGTCCGGCCTGTCGAGCGTCACGTAGACCCCAAGCACGGAAAGTTTCAGTGTGAAAACCCTATAAAAAAAAATATATATATATATACAATATCATATATCCTATATTCTATATCATATATCATACATCATTTGTGCGTGTGTGTACATATATATATATATAGGGTTATTTCTGAACTTGGCAGCCCAAGCCTTCCTGAAGAGCCGTTCCATGAGCACTGAATAAGTTGAAGAAGCAAATAAGTTCATAAGAAGTGACCAGTACAGGAATCCTGCAGAGTGGCCCCGATACCAAACAAAAGAAGCGGCACCTAGAGTGACCCTCGTTCAGAAGCCCTTGAAGGAGCCCTTGTAGCAACCCGAAAAAGTAGGCCTTAAAGGAACCCTCTCCGGAGCGAACCCTAAACCCTAAACCCTAAACCCCTAAACCCCTAAACCCCTAAACCCTAAACCCCTAAACCCCTAAACCCCTAAACCCTAAACCGTACCCCACCCGAAGCCCCATCAAACCAGACTCCGAACCTCACTCTGCCACTCCCCGCTGGCCCCCGGACCTTTCTTGGAGCCCTTCTACAGCAGATCTTCCCTGCAAAATAAGTAGCTTTGAAAGGAACCCCCTAAGGCAGATCGTCGATTCAAGATCCCCAAAAGCCTAAACCGCTAAACCCTAGAGCCACCCTTTTTTGGGAGCTCCGGGAGCTTTTTTGGGAGCTCTTTCTAAGGCAAGTCGTCGATTCGAGATGGCAACAGCACGGAGCACGCCCTAAAGGCCTTCAACAGCCTGGTCACGCTGAGGTCCAAGCTCAGGCCTGGCCCCTGACGTCTCAAAAAGAGATACAGAAAAGGGAGCTAGGGTTTAGGGTTCAGGGTTCAGGGTTTAGGGTTTAGGGTTTAGGGTTCAGGGTTTAGGGTTCAGGGTTTAGGGTTTAGGGTTCAGAGTTTAGGGTTTAGGTGACTATAAGGGTCCCTCTATAAGAGTTAGAGGGGTTACGAGAAGGTGGCTCTAAAGATTACTCTAAGGTTGCTATGAGGCTAATTATAACGGTTACTCTAAGTGAAGATAGTGATCGATTCGATGCAGCTGCAACAGTCTTGAGACAGATGCTGGTCGATGTGTTCTGTTGGCTTCAGACCAGGCTACGATGTAATGTCTTGAGCCAGTGGTTTTCGAAGTTAAGTTCTGGCCTGAAAGCGCCATTGTCAACAGCTAGCCAAGGCATAAGTTGAACAAATAGCCCAAACATGGCAGGCCGTGAGCAGATTGTTTGAGTTCGGTGAAAGCTTAGAAGTGTCTGAGTGGGCGCTGCCCTGGTTGCTTGAGCTGCTGTAGTGTGGTGATTCATCTGGAAGCCTTCAGGCATTTTGACTACGGGTCACTCTCAGGGCTACTATAAGGGTCACTCTAAGAAATACTTTAGGGCTTAGGGGCTACCATAAGCTATAAGGGTAGTATGTCTTACTAAGATGGCAGAGGGAGCTTCATAGTATTGGCTCTCCGAACCGCGGCCCGTAAGCACTCTCTGTCTCTCTGGCTGAGAAGCCGCTGCCAGTGCTGTTGGCACTGCATTCAGCGCAGGTCTGTGGCAGATAAGCACAGCAAGGCCGACACGGTTGCAATGCCTCTTGTCAGTTTGTTTACAAGCGCGCGAGTTGTCACCCACTAGCCACAACGTTCTGTGAAGCTTCGTTTTTGCTCGCATGCGTGGCGTTGGCTACAGTACCTTCTGCCCGTCGGGTATTGTCACGCCCCGGGAACCCTTCCATCACTGTGGGTCGGCACGCTTCTCGCAATCCCTGCCTCGCACCTGTCTCATTCCCCTCGGGACCGTAATGCCGGGTAGAGCAGCCTCAGGCACAAAGCGAGTCTGCACGAAATGAGGTCAGTTGTGGAGGGGGCTCGCCAGATGCAGCTCACTGCAATGATGTCGCTGCTCGTGACTGTAGGGCAGAGGACCAGGATAGCATCTTGCAAGGTAGGAGGCTTCACTGCAGATGCCAACTTGCTTGGCAGTCGCCAGATTCACCTTGCTCTTCAGCAGCATGTACATAGTAGTGTATAGACAGTAAAAGAGAATATTGGGCAAATGACGCATAACATAGCTACAATGGTACCACCATGAGAATATGTCATATCACTACTACTACTACTACTACTACTACTACTACTCCTGCTGCTGCTGCTACTACTACTACTACTACTACTATTCCAAAGGCAAGAGAGCCTCAAGTTGCAGCGAGAGACCTTGGGCATCTACCGCAAGCCACTTGGACGGTTTAAAGGTTTAGGGCTTAGGGCTTAGGGTTTGGGGTTTAGGTTAGGGTGATGGGCCGAGAGAGCAAGGGACATTAAGGGCCTAGGATGTAGGGCCGCAAGATGGACCTTACATCGCAGGGTCACCTCCAAACGGATTGGCCCAGGTTTCTGACCATCGTACTATGTCCTCTTGGAGCACACATGCTGACATGTTGTAGAAAAATGTGGAATTGCGTGTGCCGCGATCTGGTGATCTGGCACAGCGGAAGTAAACTTAGGAGTCGGGTGGCGCCAAAAGGGGGTTTCCGAAAATAGGGGACCCTAATATAGTACCCTAAATTTAGTAGGATCCTTACTGTAAGGACCCCAAAATAAGGGACCCCTAATTCTCGGAAAGTCCCAGAATGTCTTAGGAGCCTGTTGTGGATCCAAGGAGGAGCAACGCCACGCGGCAAATGTTCCGCTCGAGGCGGTTGGCACTGCGAAGCCCTTTGTATCCTGACAGGGTCGCGGCTTGCTGATTAGCCGAACGCTTCGATTTCTTCCCTACCGCGTTCTAGTACTGGTCAGCGACAGAGCTACGTGTCACTGTTTGCAGGCACATGCGCGAAAAGGCAAGGCATCCAGAAAATGTGCACGCCGAAAGGTCGTGCAACTCCGCCAATTCTCCGGTGAATAGGTAATGATGCGACCACCTTTAGAAGAATGAACATAGTGTTCTGCATAGAGATCATATTGTGGTCCTCACGAGGTTCTTTATTCAGCATCGATTTGTTGCATTCGCAGTAGCTTTTAGGCAGTTTACAGAAATCCTTTGTTTCGACTTCCTGGAAGCCTGTGTGGAGCGTCTTGAACAGGTCCGGTGCTGAGCAGCGCGAGCGACATGCGATGCTGCTGGACCTGGACCGCGGCTAAGCTGGAGCTAATATAGAGGCCTTAATAATTAGAATAGGGTTTTGGGGCCCACTAAATAGTATAGGTAGTTATTTAGGCCCCTACATTATGCTCATACTTGCCTACGCTGGGAGCGAGACCTGATCCCCTTTCCGTCGTCCATCAGCCCACTCTCCTCACAGCTCACATGTGCCAAGAGAGGCAGAGCAACCATCATAGAACGGCTGGCTCTTGAGCTTGTCATGCTGGTGTATCGGGCATAATTAAATGAGTCGATCTGCGTAGAGTTCTCGTTGCGGAGATGCTGACCTGGCTGCTAACCTTTGCAAACGTTCTTCGAAGGTGTTTGGTGGAAGATCCGCGGAGCGCTTGACGACTACATCGACGAAGCTGAAGACGAGATCAGGGGTGCCTTCACTCAGCGCTTGTCTTTCGATCGCTGCATCAGGAGCAATGATGTTGAAGTCATGCATTATGTCATTACGTGTGCCCGCAGTACATACATGCAGGCGCACACTCAAGTGCACTGCATGTATGTTGTATAACTTGTGTATGTACATAGGTAGGTAGGTTTGCCGAAGTTATATCAACTTGGATACTTGCCGCTGGCATTGAGTGCTACCCCTCACTCCCAAGCTCTAAACTATAGTCTCGGCATTCAACGGTGATCAGCCTTTGCGCAGTCAGGCTACGACTCCGGTGTCCATGCCTTGACGCAGTACGAGAAATGCTGCTTGGCGAGGTATGTCCGCATGTAAACGCCCTAAACCCTAAACCCCAGGTGTTTCCCAGCACGCCCACTTGATTACGCTTCGTGGGGATGGATGGCGATTTACAGGGGAAAGGGGGAACCTCTGGCTTCTTCCGCCATGGTTGAAGAAGAAAGGGATGTAAGGAACACTTCCAATACTATTTTGGGGGTTCCTTCTCATTATTACAGTAGAACATAGCCCAAAACCCTATTCAAATTATTAAGGCCCTACATTAAACCCTAATTGCAGGTTGGATTCTTCTTATTATTAGAGTATAAAATAGCCCAAAACCCTATTCAAACTATCAAGGCCCCTACATTATAGCCCTAAACCCTAAACCCTAAACCCTTGGCCAAAGGCAGCGTCGACTTCCAGAGCTTGCTGGCGGTCTACAAGCAGACCATGGCAGCAAGCGATCGCTCTCACAGGCTCTGGGGAAAAAGGGGCCCCCGAAGCCCTAAACCCTCAACTCCCTAAGCCCTAGGCTGCAGGGCTGTGGACCTTTGAGGGTTTTGGGGTTTGGGGTTGAGGAAATGTCGCGCTTTCAAGCCAGGCTTTCAACTAAACGAGCGCTTGCCATGAGCTGTCTTCCACAGTAGGAGCCTTCCGTCACAGGGCACGCGCACAAGCTCTCCGTTCCCCAACCCCTACACTCTTACACTCCCTGAAACCCGAGCCCGGTGCCCTAAACCCGAAGTCCGAAGCCCACAAGAGCCTCGCAGAGCTCGGCTCTGGCGCCAGGGCGCTGAAAACGACCTGGCGCCACGTCTCGAACCTGCTGGGCCGCTTCTTCGCAGAGACCGTAACTAAGGCCTTGAAGCTCTTGAAAGCGGGTATCCGGACTTAGGGGTTAGGGGTTTAGGGTATACTATACTGGTTTGGGATTTAGGGTTTAGGGCCACCAAAATCTCCCAGCAGTTCGCGGCCTCTGCTTGTAGCGCCTTGCCATCATCCGCACACCTCTCCCAAAAGAAGGCGAGCAAAGGAGAGGGACTTCTCCCAAAGCTGCTAGCATGCTTGAAAAGGCCCGGCTATCTTTGGCCGTGCTCCAGAAGCAGCCAGAACGTATGTTTGAAAGAGTACTGCGAAGTCACGAGAACGAGTGCAGTCATTAGTCGTTTCGGCCTTTGTTCGGCGGACATACTGAAACCTAGAGTTTTCTCGATTATGTTATGCTGTTGAGTGAGCCATCAGTGGCGCAGCGGGCTTCTCAAGCCTATGCCCTGCACCGTTACGCAAAAGCTACATACTCCGACCAGGAACCAGCCCAAAACCCCAAAAAACTCTACCCTAAACCCTAAACCCCAATACCTAATTTACCACGGACCCTGCACCCAGGGGAGCTGGCCTCTCACATTGTCGACGGCGAGGCGTTCGATACCTTCTTACAACAAGAAGGCAGGGAAGGTAGCTTACAGCAGTCCGCAGTCTACATCCAGCAAGTGGTGGTGGTGGTGGTGGTGGTGGTGGTAGTGGTGGTGGTGGTGGTGGCTGCGGAAGTAGAAGTCGAACTAGGTTTAAAGTAGAAGAAGTAGCAGGGGCAGGAGCAGTATGCAGTAGTCAGTAGCAGTGGCAGCAGTGGCAGCAGCAGCAGCAGCAGCAGCAAGCTTTAGCATCAGTATTAGCAAGAGTAGCAGTAGTAGTAGTAGTAGTAGTAGCAGTAGTAGTAGTAGTAGTAGCAGCAGCAGCAGCAGCAGCAGTAGCAGCAGGCCCCCCTACCAACTGCCTCTCCTAAACGCTGGTTAACAGCGCATCCACTTTATTCGTTATTTGCATTATTTTCGTGACGTCGTAGTCCAATACCAACCACCGGTGTTGAAGGGTGAGGGGGGTGTGAGTGGGGGTAGGTGAGTGGGGCCATGATGACGTACGTTTAGAGAGCACATCCATTTTCATCAGTATTTACAGGACTTTCGTGATGTTGGAGTCCAAGTACCGACGATGATGACGATGATTTTGATAATGATGATGATGATGATGATGATGATAGTGTTGATGGGTTTAGGCGCGAGGTAGTTGGTGGGGTGTGGTGGCTGCTAGTAGTAGTAGTAGTCGTCGTCGTCGTCGTAGTAGTACCAGTGGTAGCAGTAGTAGTAGTAGTAGTAGTAGTACTAGTAGTACTAGTAGTAGTAGCAGCAGTAGTAGTAGCAGTAGTACTAGTAGTACTAGTAGTACTAGTTGTTGTAGTAGTAGCAGTAATAGTAGTAGTAGTAGTAGTAGCAGTAGCAGTAGTAGTAGTAGTAGTAGTAGTAGTAGTAGTGGTGGTAGTAGTAGTAATAATAGCAGCAGCAGTAGCACGCACGAAGCAGTAAGTAGTGCATCAACCAAGATTGCTTCAGGTTGTGAGGGCTCCGTGGCTGATGGGGGCTTGACCGAGCAAACGCTGCAGCAAGTCCGAGATGCCTCAGCCGGAATGAGGACTGTCTGTGAAGTGCCACGGCCCCAAACCCTAAACATCCCTGAACCATAACCCTAAACCCTACACCGTGCTTGTGGGTCACATCACCGTTGCGAGTCTTCGAGCATTGCATCCTAAACCAAATCGTATAGACGCTAAACTTGTCAGTTGGAAAAAAAGGGCCCACCAAAAGAAAGCCACAAAAGACTAAAAGGATGCTTTACGACCGCTTTGAAGTCGCGGACCTGGCGTCGCCGGACTTGAAGACTGTTGAGGATGCGGCTGCTCGGCGCAACTCCCACACTTCAAGCCTGGGCCAACACCGCATCCCCACAAAACACAAAGAGGACCCGGTTCAGGACGTATGGGAGGAAATCATAAGAAGCTGGAAAATTATGGTTGAAGCAGGTCTGACACACCACAGCAGCATAAGTGCACGTCTGCCGCTGCCATGCGACGACTGCTTTACACAAGCGTGCATGTAAGAGTTTCCCTGGCGAGCGAGCACGAGGGTTTCGATAGTACGACTCTGTATGGTACGAGCCTAAGAGGGCTTTAGTTCTCAAGGTTCTTCGTGTTACATGCCCGGTCGGGAGCCACAAAAGCGTCTGTGTCCAGCGACCGATTCTTGTCTGAAGGACTTCAACAACAGCAAGTACTGCTGTGGCGACAACCACGTCTGCTGCTACTGCCACCGCTACTGCTACTACTGCTACTACCACTGCTGCTCATACTACTACCGCCACTGCCACTGCTACTACTGCTGCTAGTGCTGCTACTTACTACAACTGCTGCTGCTGCTGCTACTGCTGCTGCTCCTACTACTACTACTACTACTACTACCACTGCTACTGCTACTGCTAGTGCTACTGCTACTACGACTACTACTACGACTACTACTACTGCTATTGCTGCTACTGCTACTACCACTACTACTACCACTACGATGATTATTGCTATTACTCCTGCAGCTGATGCTGCTGCTACTGACTGCTACTGCCACGGCTACTGCTACGGCTACGGCTACTGCTCCTGCTCCTGCTCCTGCTATTGCTCCTGCTGCTACTGCTGGCGCTGCTTCTGCCACTGCTGTGACGACCGCTGCCACCACTATACTCATCACCACTGCAGCATGCGCCTGCATGCATTCCAGACTCGATGCCTACCAGGTTGAACGCATCAAAGCAAGCTTCAGCGAAGCGACGGAGAGGGTCTGCAAGATTAGAGGACACCGACAGCTCGAGTGTTCGGTGTGCTGTGAATTCCTCCTTAAATTAAAGTGCGTGTTCCCAGCAAGTCCATCTTGAGTCATTCTTGACTGTGAACGGTTTTGCCAGGCTTTGCTGAAATACAACTGCAAAAAATCAACAGGTTTGAGTCCCTGAGCCCTCTACTCTCGCACGGAACATCAAATTATTCCCTTGAGGCTGCAGGTGCCAACAAGAATAGCACGCTGAGTCGTCAGGCAGTGGCCCTCTAATGCATGATCGTCATCTTTTGTCGCCTTCAATTCCAGCCCACCTTCTAGTGGTTTACGAAGTCATTATGCCAACCACCTGGTGTTTGCTCGCTCCATGCAAGAGGAATGCTGGGACATGAAGAGCCCTTCACTGGATTTTCTGGGTTTCCTCAGGAATTGTTGTTTTATTAGTTTTGGAATTGAGCCCAGGATTACTTAACTGTCCGAGATCCGGTGACCTGAACCTTGCACTGGGCTTGCGGTAGTTTTCTTGACCTCGTCCTTGGGCAGGAGAGATTCCGAACTGGTTCCTGCCCCATATCGACCTGGTTGCCCGGCTTTTGCAGGGCTTTGAGAGCTCCCTTCGCTACAGCGTAAGATCACACAATGATGGCTGAGAAGCTCAGGGTGCTGAGACCATTGAAACGCACCTCTAAGGAGAAGGATCAAAAGCAGATGGACTCGGAGATCGCACTGCTGGAAGAGGCAAGGTAAGGAGCCATTGCAACGTGAAGGCGGAACATCTCACCCATCCTCAGAGCCCTAAATCACACTACTAGAGGCGCCAGAGGTTTTCAAGGCTCGCCTTGCGTCTATGACGCGGGAAAGCGAGCCGCTAGCCCCACGTGTCGCCGCAAAGCCTTGACACGCTGCGTGAAGATTTATACACTGGAGCTTTATGGTTACGCATCCGCTGCACCGTGATGTATCGCATCTTTCCACAACCTTAAGGAGTGGCATTGCCGGTGCAGGGGTTTTGCGAACCCCCGACCCCAGCAGTTCTTGTCACGCTGCTGGTGAACAAAGACTTTCGGCTGTCACGCGTTCGGGTTGAAGCTTAACGACCGGGTGTGCTGGCGAGACTCCCTGCTGCTGGAACGGACCGGACATGACATGCTCTGCGAGGGGTTCCCTGTACCGAGTTCTTTGATTTCTTGGTGGGCGTTGCCCAGGCTACTGTACTACAAATATTATAGTAGTAGTAGTAGTAGTAGTAGTAGCAGTAGTCGTCGTCGTAGTAGTAGTCGTAGTAGTAGTCGTCTGGTTTCCTGGAGAAAAAAAGTAAAAGTGTGGTAGTGGTAGCAGCAGCAGTGAAGTGGTCGTCGTCGTAGTCGTCGCTAGTCGTAGCAGTTATTGTAGTAGCAGTGACAGCCAATATACTAATAATATGGCCTGAAATAATGGGGCAGGTATAGCAACTTACGACAAGAATTGGCAACTTAAATTTCTAATTTCAAGAATAATAATTTTAATATAAACTGAATAATTAATATATATACAGAATTATTATATAATTACAATATTTATTATAGAATATCTATTTTGAAATTATGTATTTCTTTATTGACGCCTTTCAATATATATATATATTTTATAAGTAGAAATGATTTTTGTATTTTCCATATTTGAATTTTTTTTGCTCGAGAAATAAATATATTTTTTCTGGAATTAGATACTATTTTTTATTTCGTTGAAATATGGTCGTTTGGATCGTTTTTTATGAAAGAAGTTTGGTTATGAATCGCGATTATTTTCGACTCATAGATTTTTATATCACTATAATAAATGATATGTATTTTTATGATATAAAAAACATCACAAAATTTTATAATTATAATTTTTTAAGTTTTTAATTATTAAAAAAAATTTGAAACTTTAAGAAAAGATTTTTTAAATTTTTCTTTATAAAAAATTTAATAAAAATTCTTGACAAAAAATTGTACGGAATTTAAGAATTAATATTTCTATATAATTCTATTAATTCTTTTTGAAATTTAATTTGTTTTTCTAAATATTTTATTTCTTTATTTAAATCTTCTTATTCTTCTTTTTCTAAAATGTATTTTTATTTTATTTCTTTAATGTTATTTGCCTTGGTTTCTTTGATTATTTCTGATTTTTCTAATTCATGCTGTGCTTGTTTATGTAGTATTTCGAACAATTCATTTTGAACCGAATTTTTTATTAAAAAAAATTCGAGTTTGGGGTCCGGCGTAGTCGGTTTAAGAGTCTCCGTTCCCAAGCCGATCAAGTAGACGTCTTACTCGGTAAGCGAGGCACACCAATGGACAGGTATTCCCTAGCTTCCCAAGACCTCGTTGAAAAGCTTGCGGCCGCGCGCCAGCGCATGGCTTGCAAGTGTTGCTCGTGAGATGAAGGGTTAGCCATGATCCAAATGATCCTTGGTGGGGGTTCTTAATTACGCTCCGCTCATAGGCATTCCGTCTCCCGTTGCACTCCACCAGGAAGATACCGCTTTGCACCGGTTGCTTTTGTCCAGCCTG